ATAAGCGAGTAAAAATTACCCCCAGCAGCACGGGAGTAGTGCGAGTGGGTTCATAACCAGTTTGCTTGGAGCACACCTCTAGTGACCCCAAAAATATTTTTTGTATACTTTGTTTCATATCGTTGCTAGATTGTTGTCCAGTCATTGCATTTTCATTTGTTTATATCAGCGCTAATAAAATTCACTTCGTGTTGTTTTTCTTCCTTTGCTAATAGTTTTGTTTATGTACGACGCTGACGGCCCACGCTGTCTTCACTTAGCAGGCCGGTCGCTTTATTAGGTTTTGCCATCTCCTTTTTGTGTGGTAGTTTGTTGCTGGTAGGCACTGTATATATGCACATACATATTGCAATAGGAAAACCTCGAGGCTTTAAATTGGCGCTCAACATGGGGCCCTATATTTAAAGATATTTACGTTGAGAAACAGTTGGTTTTGTTTCAGAAGTCTGCGAGTGGCATTTCGCTTTTTTCTAAATAAAAATTAACAATATGCAATTCAAAAAATAGGTCCGTTATAAGGAAAATTAACAATATGCTATTTTTTTATTATTAGTAGTAGCAGAGGAAGAAGGCAAAATTATTTAATGAACTTATTGAAATGGAATTTGGTTAGATTGTTCCGTTTTGTAAATTAGCAGTTTTCTTTTTGTTGTTGCTCACATTACCGGAGGATTTGTGTATGTTATCCAGGTAGAAGTCCTACTAAAATTAGCTAGTGCTTTATTTTGTTTGTATTTTTTTATTATTATATTTTTTTGTAGTTAGGTTCTTTTGTTGTTATCGTGACAGTGTATTTTGTTGGGCGAGTAAAAACACAATTTTTCACATTACGTTAATAGTATTTTATTTAGTTTTTATTATGTTTTAAAATTATTTTTATACATCCACTTTCTTGGCTTTTGCTTTTTTCTTTATTTTCTCTAAACATTTTTTTCCGAAATTATTTTATTATGGAGATTGATCGCGCAGCGCAGGACGAGCTCGCGTACGAGATGGAGGCTCGCGGGCTTCCAATAAGTACGGATGAAGCTATGCATAAGTCGCTAAGGGCGTCGCGTCTATTAAAGAAAAAAGGATTTGTAAGCGTTTTTCAAGACTTCTCCTTCAGAGCACAACCGAGCAATAACGGCGAGATGACTACAATAGCACTGCCGCCCGTGGAGGTACGACTAGTGATTGAGGAGATAGTCGGGTCGGAGAACTTGTCGAAGTGGGACTTCCACTTTGAGTTGAGTTTTATTTGCAAAAAAGGCGTTATTATAGTATAGAACTGTTAGAAAGACCCTAAGTAGTTGGGAGCTAGTAAGGGAGTTGAAGTTGGAGTTTTGCACCCCAACTACGACGATATTTTACTGGACGAAATTATGCGAAGAACTCAGGAAGCGAATGAGTCTATCGAGGTTTATGTTGCAACAATGGGGAAATGCTCGGTGAGCTTTAGGAGCCTCTGTCAAAGAGAAGAATGTTTAGATTAATAAGAGCGAATATCTTTTTATATTACCAGACCCATGTGGACAATAGGGTCGATTACCGAACTAGAGGCTTTTATTTCGTCGGTGGATACGTTTGTCCTTACTCTGGGCTATTAGGACAAAAGTTTGATGGAATCCGACGTGGCTTATGTCTCCGCTAGTGTAGAGGTTGCAACGGTAGCAGAGCCGGATCACTATGTTAGTTTCTCCAATAAACTCGACGCCCCAAGCAATTAACGCATGGCTTCGACCATACTGGCTGGAAAACTTTGTGCCTCCATCTCGTGCGCGTGATCCTACGCTAACCGTGTAGAGTACTACAAGTTAAACGTTAACTCGAAAAAACAGTTTTAAAACAAAAAAGAAAAAAATTTAATCACAAAAAAAATTAATTAACCCTAACGTGGTTAGTACGTTGCCCCATACGTGTAGAACAAAACGACCCTGACACGTAAACAACAGTAGAGCCTAGCCACAAAAAAATATTATAAAGTGGAAAAATACAAAGTTGAAACCTAAGCTAACTTATGTAATAACACAATAATTAACCAAAAAATATTAAATAATAAAATTATATAATTCTAATAAACATTTTACAGCCAAAAATCTTTAATTAACAAAAAAAGGTAAAAACTACAAACTTGTAGCAAACCACTATTTTACAAAAAAATTTGTTTAAATATACACCCACACTAACCTCTGACCAAACAAATCTCCACACAAAAAATAGGTGATAAAACAATCTAACAAAGCGACTGGCCAGCTAGTGAAGGCGGCATGGGTCGCAAGCTACGTACAATTACAAAAAAAATGGGGGGAAAGCAAATGTAAAATATGATATAAGCAAATGAAAGTCGCACGAAAACAGTGAACGAGCAAACCACTGCTTAACTATAGAATAAGCAAACTTTATTTTTGGGGTGCACCCAAGGTGTGGTCCAACAAATGTGGCTACGAACCATTAGCACTACCCCCGTGCTGTCGGGGGTATCTTTAACTCACCTTGTCAGGTACTGGCCGACGCCCCTTTTTGTCATCAATCCATGGCTTCAAATAAAGCAAATATTTGCCGACATATGTCACTGTCAATGCTTGGAGTGAAAGGGAGATTAGGCAAAACAAAGGAAAAGAACAAAAAAACACAAAGTTTTTGTTGCGGCCAGTGCGCGACAAGGTGAGTTAAAGTTACCCCCGGCAGCTCGGGAGTAGTGCGAGTGGGTTCGTAAACAGTTTGGTTGGACCACACCTAGGGTGCACCCAAAAACATATGTTGTTTTATTAATTTAAATAGTTCGCCTTTGCTGTTAAATTGTTGTTGTTGTGTGATTCTCGTTTGTTTAAGTCAGTGTTGGTCATTCACTTGGTTTTATTTTTGTTAATATTTGTTGTTCTTGAAGTAAGCTGTTGACCCACGCCGTCTTTACTAAGCTGGCCGGTCACTTTGTTAGTTTTTGTCATCTCCTTGTTGTGCGGTAGTTTGTTTTGACGCATGTGGTTATTGGTAGGCGCTTGAACAACAGCCCCTGTACGTATACATATGTATGTGCGTATGTACATTGTAATAGAAAAAAGTGGGGGTGACAACCTGTATGACTGGGATCTGGGTGCGGGGTGGGTAGGGACGTTACGAGGGGAGTGACACTGTCGACACGGACGTCCACGAAAACAATAAACAAATAAGACGTAATACCTTTCGGTTTCTCAGTCGGGCGTGCGCCCCAACATCTCTACTCCTCAAAGGCTGCCTATCTCCAGTTTCGCCACAAAGTCACAATACAGCCAATAGTATGCCCGAGCTTCAACTGTGTTTCTGCTCACTAGCTCTGATTTAATAAAAACTATATCTATTAGTAGTATTAAGTAAACTTGTCTTAGTGCGGTCGCCCCTCGGCATGGAATGTCAACCCCTCCGAGAGTATTTCTGGCTTGAAGTAAAGCCTCCTAAAAAAAAAAAACATAAGCCGTTCGGGTGCGGCTTAGTATAAACTTTATGCCCCTCTATTTGTTGCAAAAAACCACAAATTGGAGGAAGAACTCGGCTGAAAATCAATTCAGTGGTTACAATGCGCCAATCACATATAAATACAATATATGTAACCGCACCGCCCTGTTCTTAGCCTCGATTGGCCTTATTCTAAGCTTGCCTCGACTGGCACACAAATTTTTCAAACATACAAGAATCTCCCCCGGCACGAACTTACAGGCCAGGTCACACTTTTGGAAACTTATACCGCTGGGCAGGCACACACCGAATGCAACCATGCCATCAATTCCTGGCATTAAATTGTGAAACTTTTCGCCGACAGATGTCACTACCAATGCTTAGAAAGGAAAGATTAGGAAAAACGAAGCAAAAAGACAATCAAACCAAACCAAAGAAATTTTTGTTGCGGGCAGTACGCGACAATCTTTTGTTTCAGAAATGGGTTGACATTATTACGATTCTACAGCGATTCTCAGATGGAAAATCAGTCCATCTAAACATTTTCGCTGATCTTCTTTTCATGCGTGAAAGATTATTGTATTACAGTGTCAGTAACCATAAACACTATTCACATTTTCAGCAGCCTAACATGTAGAATATAGCGTATTTTCTCTTTGCTCTCTTGTGATCGACTTCTCTCCTGTTATCTATTTTAGTACCAAATACTTTCTTTCCAACGCCATCTAGCGTAATCAAATCCCACATTTAGTTCCGCGTTCTAAATGGCTCTAGGAATCTATGGCAAAAATAACTGATGAGATGAGGCAAGTCCTCTAAAAAATTTTTGATACAATCAAGACTGTCGGAGGAATCTATGCAGACGAAAAGAGGATGAAAATCATTACCAAGACATTGCTGAATTTAAGAATGAATAAGAAGCCGAAATGGTTGCAGCGATAATCGATTATGCACAACTGCCATTTGGAAGACCTGGGTTTTATAGAAAATAAGGTTTTGTAATTCTGGTCACCTCACTGCAGGGAATGTCAACCCATTCGAGAGTATTTTTAACGCGAAATAAAGGCTTCCCATAACCATCAGCCAGGTGGCGCCTTCTTAGAAACAGTAGTTCCTTCGGTTTTTTTTTAAACATCAAGACAGACGCCATAAATAGGAGGATGAGCTCGGCCAAAAATAGATTCTGCGGTGTTAAATATTTGAGAATATTAACGTTAATGCAGCTACCAAAATGAGCTTATTTTCCTTTTTAGCCGAAGTGAAAAGCTGCCGTTAATGTCCATTCGTTAACAGATAATGATGAACGTTTAAATTCAAGAACACGTATGCTATTCAATATTAAATAAGCACCCATATTAAAATTAACTATAACAATGAGTTTTTGTGGATTCAACGTTGACGATTTAATTTCGTCTCGATATGATATTATGGCGTGATACGATTTCGTTTCATTTTTCTTGTGCCGCAAATTTCAGCAAGAAAGGGCCAATACTGAATACGGAATATTACTGGATTCAGAAAATCCGTATTATTAGAGAAACCTGCATTACTTATAATATGTGTGTGCCCTTAGCTCATGTACTTACCAACACAAGCGCCCAGCTGGTTGCGATGGAGACCAACTTGGCATGGTGGCAACTGATTATTACTTGTATCGCTAATACTAGTATAACGCGGTGCCTCCTCTCGAAAACTATTTCGGCTTTGTGTTTGCTGCGAAACATAGTGCCCCGGGAAGCTGTAAGATGTGCCATTGCGATGGTATAGGTTGGACAAATAAATTGCAGGTAGTATTTTGCTTGTTACATTAGTTGACAACGGTCCTTTAGAAGTTCTCTTAGTTGACAGAATGCGACGGTAACAACGGAATGAACCCTTTGTGTTATGGCATTCATAATCGGCTGGACAGTTATGTATGCCAAGATCACACTCATCATCATCTTAACATTATATATACATGTGCGTTGATAAATAGAAACAATTGAAAACTATTTATTAACAAGTGTAGTGTATATGGGATCACAATGTATATAAAATTAAATTTCTTGTCTACTTTACATATTTTTAATGTGCTTACCATCGCAGTTTCCTGTTTCGGCGCTTAATGTATACCCTGTACCGCAACTTTGAAGTCTAACGCAGACATAAGATCCATATGTGTTGTCACAACGTTGAGTTGGTAGGCAATTGTGGTTGTTGATGGAGCACTCGTTTATGTCTGAATAAAGTATAAATTTTTAATACGAAATTGTGTTGGGTAAATTACAATATGGCTGTTTTCAGCTGTAAAATATACAATACAAATAAACTAATTAAAGAATCCGAATTATATATATTCTTAATTCGCCATTTCTCTGCTCTCTATATCAAATCTTATATGAAAGCAACAGTAAAGTTCAAGTTAAATCCAAACAGCATGTCAATCCAACCCCACATTAAAGCGTTATAGTACAACGTTGCCATCGTTAGTTTTAAAGATTTTAGACACCTTACCCAGTGCTAACGAATCAAATACGGTTTAATCTTTATTTAAACATGGGCTTAAGATTCTTTTTTTTTATAAAATACCTTCAGGGAAAAGGAATTCTGTTCATATAGAAAATGCTACGTACACCCACACAGATTTCACCTCTAAGTGATGACTCCTGGATTTTACTTTTTATGTTTCAATAATTAGGGGACGTAATGATACGACAGCGACTCTGACGGTCGGTGCTGCCTTTGTATTTTGCAAAAAAATGTTTGTTTTCATACTTTCATGTCATATTGTGGACTAAAGGTTTTATGAGATATGTTTTTGCTACCAAAATCTAATGCCAAGATCAAATCCATAGCCTTAAATATCAACCGAATTATAATTTTTTCGTAATCATGTTTTTTTTTTTTCGTTTGCTGCTACTATTTGGTGAGCCTTGTTTTAGCTTTTAAAATTTTATTGGATTTTAATTATACCAAATATTTTGATTAACAAAATTAATCACTAAAATGGCATTTTAAAACTATTGTGTCAATAATAAACGACATTAATGGAATTACGGTAATGACTCTGGTCACGGCCTTAGCTTTATGGTATGACACTTTTAATTTAACCTTTAAGCCGAAGGCAGCTAATTGCTCTATAGTTTTCTCCACGAATTGGAGGAATCTAAAGTTTATACTAAGCTCCCTCCAAACGGCTTATCGTTTTTAAGAGAAGGGCTTTAAATTCCCTTCTGAAGAGCAACCACAAGGAAATAAGCTTAATTCTTATTTCAAATTAATCCACATTGTCATTATTTTGTTAAATTGTTTTTGGTTTTTTAAGTTTTATGGAACTGTCTCAAACCATATATTTTTTGGATGTTGGTCGAACCAATACTCGAACCCTGGCCTTCTGAGAGATTGTACGCCGTGCTATTCACTCGTCTATGGCGGTCCCAGCGTTGCATTATACAAATATGTATATATACTTTTTCGGTCGCGCTTCTTTTTCAATCTCTAGCCTGCATTTTGGTGTTTTTTCAACAAATAGAGGGACCCACAGTTTATTCTAATGCCCCTACGAACAGTCGAAGGATTCTAATGAATTTCATGCCAGAAATACACTCATTAATCCCCTTCGAGCAACTACAATCAAAAAAAAAAAATGTTCCATTATTTTGAATGTTGGTCGAACCAGGACTCCTACCCTCGCTTTCGCCCATTGCGGCCGTCGTTTCTTTATATAATGTGTTGAACGGATTAGCTGTGGGCAATTCTTTACCTATTATCTTTTCGGCAACACTGATTTAAACAACGTTTCGTGTTTTGTGTCACTGTCAAACAACTTTAGTTTGGTCTATAATTTAACCATGAATCGTCTTACAAACGAACAACGCTTGCAAATCATTAAATTTTATTATCAAAATGCGTGCTCTGTTAAGAAAGTTAAAAAAAAATTCTGTTCAGCGACAAAGCTCATTTTTGGCTTAATGGGTGCGTAAATAAGCAGAATTGTCGATTTTGGAGTGAAGATCAGCGACAAGCCTTGCAAGGGCTACCAATGCATTCAGAAAAGTCACAGTTTGGTGCGGTTTATGGCTTGATGGCATCATTGGACCGTACTTCTTCAAAGATGATGCGAATCGTAACTTTTTTGTCCAAAATGCAAGAGCTTGACTTGCATGACATGTAATTTCAATAAGACGGTGCCACATACCATACAGCACGCGTATCAATGGACCGATTGAGAGGCGTGTTCGGAGAACATTTAACTTCACGTTCGGGACCGGTCAATTGACCGCGTAGATCGTGCGATTTAACGCAGTTAGACTTCTTTTTGTGGGGATATATTAAATCTTATGTCTAAACAGACAAGGCCGTTTCAGTTGACATATTGAAGGACAACATTGAAGCTTTTATTCGCGAGATATCAGCCGAAATGTTGGAAAGAGTATTCCAAAATTGGACTAAGCGGCTGGACCATTTGGGGCGTAGTCACGGTCAACATTTGCATAAAATAATCTTAAAACATTATGGGCCGTACTATCTATTCAAATAAAGATTTCATTAATTTTTTGAAATTTTTTTTTTTGTTAAGTTTCCCTATAGCTCTTAAAAAATCACCCTTTAATTCAAATATGTATGTTCGTTCACAGTCTTGAGTATTTATAATAAATATTTATCAAAAATACATGGCTTTGTGAATACGACTGTTGTTTAATGCGGCATTTCCACGACAGCCCAAATACGTGTTTCGCTGTCTCCATTGTAATTCGCACTCCAAATACATGCCGAATTATTTTATTCGCCATACGAATTACAGTAAGAGTGGTAATTCGTTCTCAGTTGTCATGCGAATTACGACCAAATCGATGCCTTCTCTAATTCTTATCGAAATTTTATCAAAACCAGCTGACAAACCAAAACAAAAGACAGGAGAATCATAAAGGAAGACACTAAAACACGAATATTGATTTAAAACCAAAGACTGTTTGTGCATTAAAGAAAAAAAAAGTGAAAATAATTTAAGACACTGGGATTACATTACCAATTCAATTCAAGATTTTGTTAGCTTCTACAAAAATCTTTTATTTTGCATACGTTTTTAAATGGAACAAACAAGCGAAACCGAAAACTGTCAAGCTGCGTGCCGTGTGAATGGGGGTAATACGCGTACGTAATTGAGAGAGCGAAACACGTAATGGGCTGTTGTGGAAATGGCGTATAAGCTTTGCGTGACATTTTTAAATTTTGTCAAAAAGGGGAAAACCGCTAATGCTCTGGCACAATGGACATTTCTCGATTTTGTTATTTTTTTTTTCATAAGTTAAAAACCTCTTATATAAATAAATTGAACTTGGTTCAACTTTTCCGACTCTTTTTAAAGAAGTTTATGAAAATGTTAAGAATATTTGAATTAAACACCTTTGTGAGTTGACTGCCTTCGGTCGAGCTTGAATAAAGCCTGGCCAAAATATTGGCTTTTCCGTGGAGAGCATTTTGAAATGATTATTTTGTAAATTACCTTGGGCCAGACAAACACCAGCTTCGCTTTGCACAGTATTCCGCGTGATATTACAGGATAAAGACTGAATAATGCGTAAAACGATTTTGTTTTTTACTGAAGTCTCTGAATAGACTGATTAATTTGTTAGCTGGCGATCGAAAAACATATGTATACACTGTAAGGACCCCAAAATCCGAGGCATTTGGAGACACAGAAAATAATTGAATTTATATAGTTACATAGAGCATGCAGTCATAAGAATAGAAGTGAATACATACATATATCATGGAATTATAAACATGAATTTATTTGTATGCACAGACCTACGTACACAAAGAATAAGTGAAAACTGTACCCAGGAGTAAATTGTTCTTAACATTCTGCCTGTGTGCAGAATAGTGTACAAGGGATCAACACCACCGGCAATCGTAGTGTCTCTGACACCTCACGGACACTTGTTTATATTCTGCTGAGGGTTTTCACATCAACAGCCCATGCTAGAAGTAGTATTTGTCATATGTTAGTAAAATGTTGGAAATTTTGTATATATATTTATATATATATACGATTTGCGAACTTTTATCCAGAACCAGACAGAAGGAGAAAGCCCCGATATACTCGGCAAACTATCACGATAAATCCTGTGACACCAAGAGAAGGCGTCCCATCATCAGAAATGTATAAAGACGGAGTACGCGGCACGCTTCACGAAGAAGAACAACTGTACGTACTGGCGAAAGCACCGTATGCGATCATAATGGAAATGGGGATTCCGGTACGACGGCGGTAATGATCCCTTTGGATTTATCGAGCAGGAAGAAAAATTAGCGGATGGCTACGATGTTAGCTGTAAAGGATAAAGCTCTCGTAACAAACATCGGCACTGGCAGGAATGGGACATTTTCTTGATCTCGCGGTACTTCGAGCAGCTTGACAACGACGCGTCCAACGACCGGGTGAGTGAATTAAAAATTACGTCCTGGTGGTACAAGGACTTTTGCGGCACGTGAGCTACACTGTACGTTAAACGAAGTGAGTTCAGGAGTCTGGAAGAATTAGTTTTTTTGGTAGAATATTTCGAGAATCTTCGCCCCGAAAGAGCACCATTAAGAGCCGCAGCCCCACCATTTGTAGCTCGACAACCAGAAGAGCGGTACCAGTCTATGAACGTGGACGAATAGGGCTATAGGTACCCACATAGTTACGAACAGCGATAGCAACCAAGGAGTTTTGAGAGCGCTACAAGATCAGGTCGACAGTACTCTAGAAATTACGGGAAGATCGGAACCTGACTACACCAAGGAGAGCAGAGCCCCAACCAGATTAGCGAGGGAGGTACATAAGCTCCGGAACAGCATTTCTACGATGCGGCGGAGGCGGATATTTCGTCTGCCTGTCGAAGTCCAGAAGTGGAATTTTGTTGGAAGTGTGGACGTAGTGGAGTGCACACCTAGAATTGCTGCCCAGAGGCCTCATCAGTATCGAGGGGTGGGGTCTACAATAGTCCTCAAGAACAACAGCGGCACTAAGCCAGACTCAAGGCTGGATCCTGGCCAAGGTAAACATGGACGCCGAGAATATAGTAGCAACCGGAGTAACGAAGAGTTTCGTGAGCGAAGAGGAGGCGAAGAGATTGGGTACGGAGAGAACGAGCGTACGGTCGATGAAGTGGTACTCGGGACGGACTACCTCGCGAAGGTCAACAAAGCTTTGAGATGTGGGAGACAGTAACTAAGATTAATGGTAGATAG